TTATAATAACTCTTTCCCTTTTTTGTTATTTTATTCCTTAGTTATCGTTTAGTATTCCTATTCATCATCTAGTATATATTTAATTAGTTTCTAAATATAGACATTATATTACAAAATATACCTCTAGATATTCTCACAAGTACTTTGTAAAATGGTCGCGCACAGGCTAATAAAAATGCCTATATTTGCTTTCCTTCATTTGCATGATGATATTTTGCTTTCAAAGATTTTGGGGAGAAAAAAAGATGAATGTGTATTGATATTATGGAATGAAAAAAAGGAGAGGGGAGCAACTAAAATAAATTGTAATCTCTTAACATAATTATTGGATAATCCGAGAAGCTTTGCTAAAGGAGAAGATTTTGATGGCAAAATAACAATAATTAAATCAAAGTTCGTTAATATAAGTGGTTAAACATTTATGTCCTTTAATTAAGGATTGAGATTTGATCTCTAACTTGGGTATGGGATTGTGATTAGATGTACCACCTTACTCTTATAGGGAGAACAATTCGTACCTTACAAAGATAATTTTGTAAAGTTGAGTTAGATCTATAATCTACTTTCTTAAGATTTAGTGGTAGCAAAATGATTTGCATGGATGTGTTTGGGATCAGTTGAGTTCAACTTAATTGGGGTTGAAAAAAAATTACACTTACAAACTTTTGATTTTTTTACATTAGAATGTGTTTTTCCGTTAAATGTAATTTTAAACGGTATCAAAACATATATGTTATATTTCTTACAAGTTTCTTCCAAAGTTTTCCTTGGCCAAATGGCTTGTGATGTTGCTGTTGCAAAAACATATTCTTTTCCAAATGAATACCCTAGTTTTGCATTTACTCTGGGATATTTCAAGCCATAATGAATTGCGCGTTGCAAACATGGTATTGTTAAATGAACTCTCAATTATTTTGTTATATACTTCTTGTGATTATGTGATAACTATGTGTATATCAACTCATGTTTATTTTTTTATTTTAACAATGTTGGATTTTGTTTGTATTCCAACAATACACCCGATCAATGCTAAGAAAATGACTTAACAAACATACTTAGTAATTTAATATCCCTACATCATCTCATTTTGTTGAGATTTTCAACGATTTTGTTATTGTTTCCATAAACTGCCAGTCATCAACATATATTGCAATAATGAGAATTATTCACCATCACAGTTGATATCCCCCCCTCATACTATAGGTTGACCCTATATTGCAATTTTCATTGAATTTGCGGTTAATTTAAGAGTTTTATGTTAGATATAGAAGTGAAAGCATTTATTAAAAAAAACTATAATTTAACAATATTTTTAGTTTGTTATCCCCTAAAGAAACTAAATATGATTTAAGGGTAAAAATTTATTAGAGTTTAAGTGTGAAGTGGATCCCACATCAGTTAGAGTTGGACATGTTGAGTAGTATATAAGTGAGAAAAATTTACCTATTTAATGCGTAAAGGTTTTAGATTATAAGTGTTGAAAACAATAAATATTCTTTTCTTTTATGCACAATAATGATGAGAAACACATTAAAATAACACCATAAAAAAATAAACAAAAATCACACAAATTTATTTAACCTGGTTCAACCTTTTGTGGGTGGAACTTGAAATTTACTTCCTCACAAGTTTTATGGGTGAAACTTGGGAATTCCTTTCCAAGTTTTATGGGTAAAACTTGGAAACTCATTTTTCACAAATTTTATGGGTGAAACTTGGGAACTTTCCTTCATATGATCTCCTCTCTCATTTAAGGCGGTGACCCCCCTCTACAGGTCGGGGTGATTCTTCTCATCTCAAGAGTTTCTATTTATTAACCTTACATGATAATCTTAAAAGAGGAAATGAATCTCTAAAATAAATATAATATATTTCAATTCTAAACAATATCCTAAAAGAATCAATATCTTTTAAAATTAAATAATATCTTTGAGATTTAAATTTGAAAACTTGAATTGTTTTCCAACATTAACAAGGAAACAAATACAACTTTTATCACAATCAAACGTGACTAAATGTTAGACATTTGGTATGGATATCAATTGTAGCAACTACTAGAATGGATAGAAATCTAAGTGTTGAATCCATATAAACTTGTGCTATGATTAATTGATTTTGATAAAATGTTTTTATTAGGAAAAATTGTAAAAGACTTGTGTGAAGAATGCATTAAAGTAAAGAATGTATTTTTAACATATCTTTCTTACTTATTATTTAATTTTTAGTAATTATTTGGTTAATTCAACAACTAATAAAGTATTTTAACCTTAAACCCTTAGATGAGAAGTTCTAGGTTACTTAATAAAAATATCAATTTCTTAATAAAGTTAATTAAGTAACTTGCACTAGGATAAAAGTTGACTAATAATTCTTATCATATTCTTAGTAATAAACATTTAGTATTAGCCTTTAGATCGTAATTTTTAAAAGTTTTCCTAACTTCAGATAAGTCTAATATTATGTAATGAGTGATCAAGTCAAAAAAACATTAAGAGAAGAAAAATAATTAATTGAATAAGAAAATTATTGAATAAGAATAGAAAGAATTACATGGAATCAAGTAGTTACATCGATCTCCAACAATGGATGAATTGGTCACTCATGGTTACTGAACTCGCACAAAAGATATAAAGAAGATTCTAGAAAATTCTGTGATGACTCTTGCTCGAACCTTGAGAGTACAACCTTGACTATAAATTAGAGTTCTTAGTGTTGTCGATGCATGAATAATGTTTTGCTTCTCTTTCCTTTCTTGGTCATTGTTAAGGCATTATTATTATAATAAAACTTGTTTTCTCTAGCAACGAGCATATCGGGGAGTATGGGGGAGCACTTAAAAGGTTGCATAGGTCATTAATTAGGACTACCAAAAAAATCAAACACCACATTTCCATCCAAAATCTTGTGGTATTATTGGATATATGAATCGCATGTTGGACTAATCACTGGCTTGATCTCTCTCCAATTGTTAATCTTCACATTACTATGCTCTGCCAGTATCATAAATCAATGGGACACGCTTATTAACCAATCGTACCATCAAATATAGATATTACTATGCTCTGTCATATTTGTATTATTTTCACCATGATTAGATTTGACAACCTAAATTTTTTATCTAAGTTTAAATTCAACTTCAACTTTGAATTGTTCGAAAACATCTCGGAATCACTACAAGAAAATTGTCATATAGTGACACACATCATATAGTGACACAATACGTATTATTAAAAATTATTTTTACCCACACAATAAATATAATATATGTTGATATATTGTTAAAAAGTGTAGGTATAGACTATAGTAACACACAAAATATGTTGTTAAATCTCATTCAAAATCAACACTAAAATTGTATGTAGCTATATGTCAAATAGGTATATACCTACATATATTATACCTATAGTGACACTTTTTGTATGTCACTATATGGAATATTTTTTGTAGTGGATTATCACTTTTCATGTATCAAATATAGATATTTATATATTAAATAAATTATACATTGATGCTCGTTTCATGAGGTTGAACACATGATTAACATTGTCTAATTATTATTAATGACAATTATTTAATGACAAATAATTAATTGTTTCTATTTTATTATCTAATAAAAATATTAATGATTAATATATAATAATCATTAAAAATATATTTATATTATACCAAAATTTACTATTAACAACAATTATTTATTGAGAAAAACTCAAGTCTTACATTGACTAGAAATAAGATAATTAAAGAGTATATAAGTAAATGATAATTTTTATCTTATAAGTCTCACATTGTTATAAATCATTTCTTAAATTTTTAGTAGTAATAGCAAAAAAAAAATTAAATGCTAGTAAAAAATGTCACTAAAATTTATATATTTTACTCGAATTAGTAAAAGATTTTATAGCAATTTTTATTGTGACTAAAAATAATATTAAAATCATTAAAAATTCATTTTATTATAGTGATTGATCGTTGATGCACTTAATGCAGACTTCAAAACTTGATAGATATAAGAGAAAGTAGTGTATTTGATTTGACACTATAGCCTCTGAAAAGTAAATTCCCAACCGAAGTATTTATAAATCCTGAAAATTATAATTCTTGAAAACCTCTTCATACATTGAACATTTCCAGGGCATTTCATCTTCATCTTGTTAAATGTTTGCATGTTAGATATGAATACAGTGAAAATAGGAGAATTGGTTAATTTGCATTCCATTTATTTCTATTCTATCTACTGTATTCTCTTATTATTGACATCCATTCAACTTAGAATACCGAGGACTGAATGAAATTTCCTAATATATATATGGCAGCATTTGAAGCAAGAAACAGCAAACTTGATGAAGAAGATTGAGCTTCTTGAAGCTTCAAAACGGTTCAACATTTTGCTTTTCTATTCATCTCAGCAAAATTTTTATATCCACTGTTAGATTTCACTCACAACATTTTTTGTTGCATGTGTACTATTCATCCCTCAGGAAACTCTTGGGAGAGGGTTTGGGGTCATGCTCCTTAGAAGAACTTCAACAGATAGAACAACAGTTGGAAAATAGTGTAAACAATGTTCGTGCAAGAAAGGTTAGCTTAAAAGGCATATTAAAAATTTTACTTTCAATATATTTCAATTTGATTAACATTTGAATCCCTATTTTGTATTATTTAGAATCAGGTATACAAGGAACAAATTGAGCAACTAAAAGTAAAGGTAAGCCCATATAGTTGAGGTGGTTGAACATATTAGGTCCTTTGGAACAAATTTGGAACCCTGCTACTTGCATAGGTGTCTGGATCTCATTAAAGTGGATGTAATTTCAACTACTTTCTATCAAATTTAGATGTAATCAGTAATCACCATATAGTTGTCACTAACTACCGTCTGAAACTGGTGTTATGAGCATTACTCCTTGATATTGTGTTTGGATTTAATTCTGTATCATTCTGAGTACATGACTTGTTTTTATTATTTTTTGTGAAGGGAATGAAATTTGTTTTATTTCCCATAATCTCTACAAGTTAAAAAAAAATCTCATGCATGTAGGATTTACACTGAAGAGATGCTAACTAGTGTGTTTTGAATACGATACAGGAAAAAGCCCTATATGCTGAAAATGCCAGGCTGTGTGAGCAGGTGAAACTACACTATTGTTACTGCTGTCTAGAATTTATTTTAGAAATGTTGTTGAACACTTATTTTAGATTTGGATGAATGCAAAATATACACTTTTTATCATTTTCTTTTCAACACACTTTTCACTATTAAGTGAAACTCATGTAGGTTTAATTAAAGAATAAATGAGTCTCGGGTGTGAATTTAGGGTTTATATGAATTTCACCCAATAGAAAAATTGTGTTGAATTAATTAATTGGAGAGTTTATTCTTAGTTTAATTACCCTTTTCTTCCTAATAATTTTTTAAAATTCTTATAATTGAAAGCGTTTTATTATAGTCTTTACATATCTTCTTTTTCTTTTAGTTCCCTAGGTCTATTTCTATATAGATTAAAAGGAAAGTATATTCAACTATAGGAACTAAAATGAAAGTAGTATATATAGAAATTAAAATGAAATATTTTTTAATTATAAGAACTAAAAAATAAAATTCATGAACTACAAGGATAAAAGGGTAATTAAACCTCTTTTCTTTATATTTTAGAAACCTTTAAGTTAAATTGACACTACTAGAAAAGTGTCATTTTCTTGCAAATTTTCCTGTAAAAAAATATTCGTAAAATTTTTTTGCGAATTTATTTGCGAAAAATAATTTACAGATATTTCTTATAAATTTTTCTACAATTTTAATAATCATAGAAATTTTTTTTCATGGTAAAAATTTGCAGAAAGTATTGTAAGAATTTTATTTTGTTTCTTGCAGATTTTCTTGCAAAAATAAATTCGCAAGTAATGTTTACTAAATGGTAGAAAAATTTTGCAGGTAACTTTTTCTGCGGATTTTTTTGCAAATTTTAATTTGCAGGAAAAAAAAAATATATTTAAATCTGTAAGTTTAATATTTTAAAAAAATTTCATGTCCTACTTCAATTGAAAATAAAGCAATTAAAGAGTATATAAGTTGGGACAACATTTACCATACAAGTTGATTTATATGATTGAGTGTTAGGCTTATAATGTAGTTACTATCTTAGAATTTAAAAGATTATGTATCACATGTTGAAGGCATGAAAATAAATGTTTCGGATGAATTCATTGTGAGCATTTGAAAGTTAAAAAATTATTGATAGAATTTATAGTAATTTCTTGCAAATTTTAAAATTTGCAAAAAAATATTATTCACGAAGATATTACCTGCAAATAAAATTTTGTAGGAAAATTTGCATGAACAACATTTCTTAGGAATTTTTATGTCGTATGTAATAAGAGAAATTTTAATAGTGGGAAATGCTGATATTTTTGAGTGATGAAATTCTCATGCAGTTAGGTATCCAACCACAAGCAGAAGCAGAAGCAGCAACAAGGGATCCCAAAGAAAATCAACCCTATGCAGAAAGCAGTCCAAGTTCAGAAGTGGAGACTGAATTGTTCATTGGACTACCAAGGTCTAGTTGAACAGAATTTAATCCTTGCCTATGCAAGCATGAAATAAGGAGAAGCCAAACTGTCTCTAGCTAATTAATGTATAATATCGTCATGTTTCCTATAATACTGAGATGAACACTAGGAATCTTATATTATATATAAAGAACTTTCAAATTTTATCATTAGGGTTTGATGTTTGTCTTTCGTCATTCAACTCCCTTTAGCTTTATTAGTTAGCACGTAGTATGACCAGAGAAGTTAACAAATAGATTTTTTTGAGTGTCTATCTAAAATACCCTTATTTGTTTATCAGAGTAAGAATTTATTAAACTTTTATAGAATTTAATAACTAAAAATGATACTCATGTATTTTATGGGTTAATTTTGTTTTTATGTATGTTAAAAACATATTTGTTTGTAAAATTATTTTTATATTGAGATAATATAATTATATTCTTTCAAAAATATAAAAAGAATGGAGTATTCAAGTTGGATATATATATATA